AGGGTGGCGTAGGGTTCTTGTTAAAAAGCTTTTTTTTATTTTAATATGTCCAAGTTAAATCCACATGTCCCTTTTTATTCGTCACTTTGCGAGTGAATTACACGCGTCTTATATGGTTGGCTACTTATGAATTTTGTGTTTAAACGACGCATTTGAGATATGGTTGGAGTGTTCAAATGAAACGGACTTAAAATAAGGTTTTTAAGTGAAAAGTGAGGACAACTTTAAGGGGTTGTCGATGTATTTGGCCTAATAAATAAGAGCTACATATCTTCAGAACAAGACTTATGTATTTGGAAAGAAAGAGTAGTTTATAGGACTTGTTTGATAATCTCTTTCTTCTTCTATTTTGCTTCTTGGTCTAAAGGTACTTGTGAATGTTGCCCAATTTTGGGTTCTGAAAAAGGCATGGAATAGACTTTTGACTTCGAAGGCAAGAAAGGTCGATTAAAGCAGAAGGGAAACTTGGTATAAAGCTTTTACCCAATATGTTCAAAGGTTCTTAGTGTTGGTGATTTTGAGCTTTTATTCTTTTATTTGTTTCCATTCCCCTTTATTTGATTAAAATGCCAATTAGATGAATGTCGATTTCTTTTCTTTTTTGTCTTTTTTACTTTGGCATGGTGGGTGCGGAGGTCTACGACATGAGCCTTGATAGGAGGGTGTAGAGGTCGGGGATAAGAGTAGAAGGTTAGTAGGTAGTCGAGCGTTTTACTTTTTCTTTTAGTGTTAGTATGGTATCTTTTTATTCCTATATTGTTGTCACTACCTACTGATTGATTGGTATCTTTTGCTTCGGTTTTCTTAATATCTTGTTGTTGATATTGTTTGCTGCCACAACTTCTTTTCATCTTTTCTTTAAGCGAGGGTCTAACGTGAACAACCTCTCTGCCCTTCCCGGGTAGGGGTAAGATCTGCGTACACCCTACCCTCCCCTGACCCGATTTGTAGGAATTCACTAGGTTTGTTGTTGTTGTTACTTTGGCATGGTGGGTACTAATCAGCAGCATAGAAATGTTGGTGGGTTGTATTTTTTGAACTACATTTGCTATATTATAATGGATATCGAGTTTATTAGATATTCCAAAGTAAAGCTTAAAAGTTGTGTAACTTGCATTTTTTCCATTAAATAGGTATCCTGACATTTCTTTCCTTGACTAATTATTTGGACTAGTAATTGATGGCATCGCCAGACATGCGTACCCCTTGGCTATCATCAGCTGTTGAATCTTTTGGTGGATCCTTCAAGATACGCATAGAAGAAGAAGAGACAGTAGAGAGCGTAGAATTCTTTGAAGATCCAAGTTCTCCAGCTTGTAATCTACCTAATATTCCAAATCCCCCTCCGGCACCTGGTAAAACCAGTTCAAAAGCCACTAATCGTCGACAGCTTTCAAATTCTGATTGTGACCCGAAAGAAATAAAAGATACATGGGACAAGCTCTTCAAAGAAGGATATGGAGCAGATGTACATATAATTACCGAGCACGGATCATTTATTCCGGCTCATTATGCCCTTCTGGTCAGTATGTTTAGTTGAATTTGTCTAGCAGGTTTTGTTTGTTAACAATGCCCGCTATTTATTATACTTTTTTCCTTATGATTTTCATAGAGTGTTGCATCTCCAGTGTTGGGGAATTTTCTGCAGCAATCCAAAGTAAGGTATGGTATTAGATGCATAAAAACCCTTGGGGTACCTCGTGATGCGGTCTCTGCATTCATCCGTTTCCTCTACTCAGCCTGGTACGCAGGACGTTTCACCTCCTAGTTATTTGAATCTTTAGTGAGTTTAATATTGCTAATAAAAATGCTTATCCAACATTAGCATATTTTCATGATAAGTATGGTACAAATGATTTTGACTTTCTTTAGCAAAATAATCGTGTCAAAGGACAATGTTTACATATCATCACAAATCTATGAAGATCCTCAACATCAAACTTATTTTCCTAGTACTTCTGTCTACACATAAAGTTAAGGAAGAATGCTCCTAGTAATGTCACTAGAAGCTGTACTTCGGGGGGGGGGGGGGGGGG